TCAGTGATATGCATGTATTCACTAGCTCTTGAAAAAAAAACAAATAAAATGAAATGAAATAGCTATGCGGTATATCAGTCAATCACTCTAGAACTTGATTCTGTTACAGCACTACGCAAACCGTTCCAAGGCGTACGATAAAGCATTCAAGGAGGTCATACGCAAGATCAACGATGGCACATCAATATCGTAAATGATTTGTTTTTAAGTTGAAAATGGATGGATGTCAGCATTTTGGGTTAAGGTCTCTACGACGTCTGGCCACGAAGTACACTTTCGGAGCTGTGGACTGTATTTTGCCAACTGGAATGTTCCTCGTCAAGGACGTGCTCAACTGCATTTGTCATACGATTGTCAAGAATAAGGTAGTTGATTTAGGGGCATGATTGGGCGTTCCAAACAGGGGGCATGAAGCGAGACGACTGTCAACCAGTCGTGTCGCGCTGCAACTGCGACGAGACAGCTAGCCAAGATTTGCTGCGCGTTGCTTTGCGCGGGCACCTAGTAGGGTATGCGATACCTGCGACTTAGTTGCACCTCTCCTGGGAGAAGCTCTATGTGATTTAGTATTTGCTGGGTCTGCAGATTGATCCTGGGTGAAAACGTGGTTGGGGGGTGCCAGGCCCTTTTGTGCTCTGCATCTCTTCAATTCTTACCCATTTAATCATCTCAGCCATCTCAGTGCTCCTCTCTTTCTAGAAGTTAGGGAAGGAGTTCCGGGGTGGGTGGTGTTCAATACTTACCCCATCCAAGCTTTTTGCACGAGATAATCATCTTTAGAAGAGGAGGAAACCATCTCTGTGCACTCTGTTGCCTGGTGACAGAGACACAGAGCACAAAAAGGCGCTGGAATCCCTCAACTACATTTTCACCTGATCCTGTTATCGAAAAGAAAATAGAGAAGCAAGTCAGTAGGCAAATGTGGATCCTTCAGGTAGCTTTGGTAATCTTCGTCACGGCTTCGGAAACGTATGATTCTACAACTTCAGCTGAGCAGTACTTTCTCACTCTTACCGCCTATACAGGAATTCCAGTCATCGCTTGGAATGCCGACAATTCTGGATTTTCCTTTGGCAAAGTAACGAACTTTGGCGGTCATTACTCGAAATTTGGCCGACATTGCTATAAAATTCACAATTTTCGTTTCCCGTTCAGGATCTTACACCCTTCCGGATCATACAGATGGCCCCACCTATCGAACATCAGATAAGGTGAGTTGCCTTCTCATATGGTAAGAAGTTACGAAGATTTTGGCCTTCTGCAGAGCGATGATTGCACTTCTGCGGCGGTATAGCTGGTCAAAATTTGGCGTTGTCTGTTCTCAGATGGCCGGTTCTTCGGAATTCATCAAAAGTGTTCGTCGTGAAATCGCAGAAGCTAGTAATAAATCGGCAAAGTGAGTTCATTCAGCAATGATCAGGCCATTTTTGAGATGCGCCACTCAATCGACCTCCATTCAAGAATACAATCGCGCATGACTGCTGCTTATACCTCTCAAAGATTCTGCAGTCCAGTTCTAGCACGAATCAGTGTTTTTACTATCCCAGACGGATCATTTCCCAGTTGAAATACCCTCCGCTGCCTGAAACCTCAGTTGTTAGCAGTACGGGCCTTGTTACTCGCACCATAAGTGTGACTGAGAGCTGTTAGATGACATAACCACTTGGCACCATCCCTACCTCCTACATTTATGAACTCATTAGGGCAAATGATCCTCAAAAAGCTAAAATATCCAGGAAATCCGACTAGAATAATTGTCTGTTCCCTTTCAGATTTGAGATGATGTTCCACAGTCAGCTGGACACTTCGAACGTAACTGATATCGATACACAGCTAGAGGAATTGAAGAAAAGCCAGTCGAAGATTGTTTTGCTTTACGCTACAACGGCACAAGCAAGAGCCATCTTTGATGTAGGTTTTGTTGCATATTTAACTTATAACGCTCTCAACCTGTCCTTCAAATATTCGCGCCTTCTTTTTTGTCCCTCTGGGGGAAGGACAAAATAGTGAACGAAAGCATGTGAAGCCCTAGTGCCAATTTCCATTCAGTGTCGTGATAGTTTCTAAATACATATATGGCTTTCGTTAGAGGAGAGAGTGGGGGTGAGAAAATAGGGAGGGGCTGGAGGGGAGTACTTGTGAATATGGTGAAAAGGTTGATGAAACATTTAAGGCACAATTCACGATAAAATTGGTTTCTGAGATTCCCCGATAGTATGAATTCGAGGCTTCCCGTTATACCATACCTGTCGTTATAAGGACGAAAAACGTCATGGAGAGGGCACAGTAAGGGCCAGAGATTGTTTCGTGTGAATGCCACACCCATCGTGGACGAGTTTCAACGGCTTTGTAGAGGCTGCACTATCTCAAGAGACTCTCATGTAGGAAGCTCAGACAACTCGTTTAACTCATGGCGACAGTGAAAGGCAGTTTCGGACGATTTCGGCTTGATGTAATCATCTCTTTGAGCAATGGTAGAAAGTTAAATCTCGTCCAAACATCCCTGACATGCCATTGCCGTCACGGTGATCTCGTACAACCTCCATTTCTGCTACTTTTGAAAAACCTTGAAGTGGACGCATTTTCTCGTTTTCTTCTCCACAGAAGTACTCCTCAACATCAACACTTCCACTTTCTTCCTAAATGGGGTACCTCAAAATTATTCGTAGACAGAAAAGCTGTGCAAATTCATTGCTGTTCACTTTTTCTCTCCTAGAGAGCTACTCCACTGGGTCTCACATCGGACAAGTATCTTTGGATTGGGACTCAATCGGTTCGTGGTACACAAACCTCTGTCACAGGACATATTCAGCCAGGAATGCTATCAGTGAATTTCCA